CACTCACATGTTTTTCTTTTTCCACAATCAACGTATTTTTACGAGTAATAATGCATATCCTAGAATAATATTAAATCAAATATCATACGGTGGTGATTCCTTAGCCAACGTTTTGTAAAATACACCTAAAATATACCAAAAGATAAAAAAATATACATCCATGGATTTCATTCAGAAAATGTTCCATTAAACTTGACCAACTTTTGTGAACCAAACCACAAGAAGTAAGTGTGTGTGTTGTCTCTAATAGTAGGTCAACTTTTTTTCTTCCACATCACTCTCCTCATGCTGTGTCTCTCCTCCCATCTCTTTTCAGTACCAAATAACGCTCATAGCGTAATCACCGATCGATCATATAAGCAAGAGTGAGATAGAAAAAATCACCAAATCCAGAAACTGACACGACAACCACCATGCCAACGTTCAATTCATGCCTTGTCTTCTCCGTAACGTTGTTCGTCACTCTTATCCTCCTCGCCTTCTTTGCACATCAGCGAAACCACGTAGCTCTGCTTTTACCCGCCATCAACGTCTTACCTTCCGAGGACCATCTCAAAATTCTCGACTCCGCAAAGGAACAACATAGTACTCTTTCATTCACGCCTTCGCAAGATGTGAACGTTACCATTGTCAAAGCAACACCCCTTCTCATTAAAGTGTGTTTTTCTTCTTCTTTTTCTTCTCATGATGGAAAATTTATGTTTTTTTTTTTATTTTCACATGGTGTGAATATTTTTTTTTCTTTAATTTTGGTGCCCTTTTTGTTATNTATATATATATATATTTCGAGTTTTATAGTTAATTTACTTTAATTATTTTATAAATTAAAATAATTATTTCACTATTTTTTTATGTCTACTTTTAAAATTCATAAAATTATTTATAATAAAAAAATTATATAAATTAATTATTTTAAAAAAATTATAGTTTAATAAATTTTTAATAGAATAAAAAAAGTGGACATTAGTTTATATAAAGTAATTTAATTATTAATAAATGCAAAAGAAAATACTTAGATATAAACATATAGTAATAATTCAAAATATTAATATTGATATTTTTTTTTGTGAATGTTAACTAAATTTTTCACTTCAAGTTTATCAAGATTTTTCAAATGATATTGTGAAGTACGTATCTTCTCAATTGGATGTTGTTTTTACTTTATATTGATTATAATTATTTAGGTTCACATTAATTGAGATTATTTTAACTACCTTGTTGGTTGAGACATTTAGCAAGTTAAAAGTTTGCTTACTGGTACTAGAAAAAATATAACAAAATATTGATAATGAAAATAATTGATGTTGAGGATTAAATAATAAATTATTACAAAAATTGATAAAAAAAATATTACATAAATAGAGATAATATAGTGGATCAAGTCTTTCAAAATTTGACGGATTGAATTGGAATTTTAAATATCTGAGTCCACTAAACTTTTTAAATTAAATATTAAAATAAAAATTAATTTTAAAAAATAGTTTTTCCATATTTTTAAGTATATAAATATCATATTATTGTATCTTTAATCACTAACAAATAAGTTTTAATTATTAATTACAATAAAATAATTTAATATGTTAATATAATAATTATGTTAATTTTATTTATTTAATTAAATATAGTAGTTAAACAATTAAAATTATAAAAAATATTTATATAATTAAATACATTTTCGTATTACATATAAACAAATTTAAAATAATTAAAAAAATGATGGATGGATCCACCAACCCATTGTCTCGTCTTTTAATTAGATAAGTTGCCATTTTCAATTTATTTTATACAACGGACTAATATGACTCGTCCTATTTTTTAACCATCTAAAATATAATCTTTCTAAAATTGAGAAAAATCTAATTATTCAAAACATAGATGAAAAAAATTAAAATTAGTATTCTATACAGGATCACAAACAGTCAAGTCGGAAACATATATTGTTACTCAATTTATAACTACAAATCTATCTGTTATACATTCACTGTTTGTACAAATATTTATTTAAGAATATTCATGAATATTTTTATTATTATTTTTTATATTTATCAGTAATATAATATTTGTATTTAAGCTATGTTTATAAGTAAGTATTAAAATATTTGGTACAGTAAATAATAAATTATACTAGTTACCCATTACAAATTTTATCAACAAATAACGGTATTAATATGAATATTTGTCATCTTAATTATATAAATCAATAACAAAATAATCCTAACATAATTAGTAAATAACAAAATAATCCTAATAATATTAATATGACATCCTATAGCTAACTTTGATTAAGAAATCAGCTACAACCTATATTGTTTATTTAAGAATTGTGATTAATATTATATAGAAAGAACTTAAACGAGTATCAATTAAAGATAATCTTAGTTAATATAAATTAAAAAAAAAAATTTTTTTGCCATAAGTCGAGAAATCCATTCATTAATACTAACATTGGTTGAGAGATAATTCTAAACTCATGTCAATAATAAAAACATCGGTCAAAAAATAAAAGTATGAAATAAACTTTTATCGCCGTTTTTCAAAAAATAATGCTTCGTTCTTAGTGAAGCTATCGTCTTGATCATAGTTAAATTAATGAGATATTGACTAGAATAGAACAGATTGATGAAAAAATAATATAAAATAAATAAATTTAGAAATTAAAAAAAAATCAAATTCTTACCTTTTTTATGTAAAATGTAAAATTATATAATTTTAAGTATTCTAATTATTTTTATAAAATTTTAAAATTTAAAATCTTTTATTATTTTTTTTACCAAAATAACATATTTTATCACAAAGCATTTTAAATGCTTTGTAAATTATTTCATTAATTTTTTTTTATTCAAACAGATTACATTTTCTCATAGTTAAGTTGCCTTTTGAAGTAAACACTAAAACAAACTTATAATATTCTGTGTACATTAGATTTAATATTGTGATATTCTAATGTATTTTTATTTATCATTATTAGTTTTTTTATAAAATGAAATCATTTTCCATCATAAAGTCAAGAAATGAAACAAAATCAATTTACAAATATGTATAATAAAAAGATACAAAGGGGTAGCCATTAGTGCCATTAAATTAAACAAAAATTAAATATCAAAATAAAGATTAACTCTATTTTGAAATAATTTTTAAGTAGTTTTATTTTATTGTTTCAATGGTGTCATTAATATAAAATCATTTTATAAGTTTTAAAAACCATATTGCCTCAAATATAAAATCATAATTTTTAAATCAGTCCTAAACAAAGTAAAAAAAAATCATGGTTTGTGTTTAGAATCGATGTAATAGCATTTTCCAATTATGAAAATCCTCGTACCTAAAGCTCAATCCATAGCACAAAATCCAGATTTAAGATTTTGAAGAGGTTGTGGTTTGAAGCTACTTACTTACCTTTACTTTGATGTTATTGTTTTATGTGAAAATACAAATTAAAATATGTTAAATAAATCTTACTCTTAATTTTTTTACTTAAATTACTAATACTCTATAATTTTTAATTTAGATATATATTTTTATTCAATATTTTTTAAGTTTTATAAAAAATAATCAGATTTGGCATTTAATTCATTATTATAAAATCAAAACTAATATTCATGATTATTAAAATTTCGTTGTCTTGATTACAACATATTTAAGTAACATTTTTGAGTTTGTTTTTGTAATTTTTATAATAAAACCTTTATAATTTAGAAAACAACAAATATTAATTAATAAAGAAAACTAAGGGTTTTGTCCTAACATAAACATTAAGTAAAAATTACTTAATTTAAAAAAAAATAGTAATTACAATAATGTATGAAACTTTAAAGAAATGTAAGAAAACAAAAGCGAATTATATGCATGAATATAAACTGTAATAAAAAGTAAGTTGCGGAATGATAAATTGTTCTAAATAACTTGCATAATTGTAAATAGTACAAAAATAGCTGATAAAAACGATAAAAATAACTTATATTGAAGAACTGAGCAGAAGTGCGAATAAGAGCAATTGTACGGTGGTAGAGAATACTAATATAAATGGAATATTCTTAACATAATTGAGAAATAAATGGAGAATTAGAGGTAATTCATCAGTTTGTCGTATATGTTACATAAGTATATAGTGTGTGTGAAATATGATCTTTACCGATCCTAACTTATAAATGATGCATTTATTCTTGTATTACATTAATGGTTTCAATTTATTATGTGTAACATGAAAGTTTTGAAACATATTTGATTCTTTTTCTTCTCATGTAGCTTTTTGTCAAGTGTTTTTAACCTTTTTTGTATGATATCAAATGCAGTCTCTTTTATTGATTTCTCATTTTGAGAAATCGATCAACCTATATGTTTGCATTCATTTGAATTTTTTATTTTTTTATGAATAACAATTATCTATTCATTTTTACTGATTTTTTTTTTCGTCAAAAAGTAATTTAGAGCTAAATTACGTTCAAGAAAAAGCATATCTAGATAAGTAAAAACGAATAACTTCAAATTTTAAAAAACAAAACGCAAAAACACAAATTGAAAAAGGGTATTAAACGATTATCACACCGCAACGAAACCGAATCATGGGTTAGTACAATTAATGTTGACAACTGTTTTATTCCTTTCCTTTTACTACCACTCACATGTTTTTCTTTTTCCACAATCAACGTATTTTTACGAGTAATAATGCATATCCTAGAATAATATTAAATCAAATATCATACGGTGGTGATTCCTTAGCCAACGTTTTGTAAAATACACCTAAAATATACCAAAAGATAAAAAAATATACATCCATGGATTTCATTCAGAAAATGTTCCATTAAACTTGACCAACTTTTGTGAACCAAACCACAAGAAGTAAGTGTGTGTGTTGTCTCTAATAGTAGGTCAACTTTTTTTCTTCCACATCACTCTCCTCATGCTGTGTCTCTCCTCCCATCTCTTTTCAGTACCAAATAACGCTCATAGCGTAATCACCGATCGATCATATAAGCAAGAGTGAGATAGAAAAAATCACCAAATCCAGAAACTGACACGACAACCACCATGCCAACGTTCAATTCATGCCTTGTCTTCTCCGTAACGTTGTTCGTCACTCTTATCCTCCTCGCCTTCTTTGCACATCAGCGAAACCACGTAGCTCTGCTTTTACCCGCCATCAACGTCTTACCTTCCGAGGACCATCTCAAAATTCTCGACTCCGCAAAGGAACAACATAGTACTCTTTCATTCACGCCTTCGCAAGATGTGAACGTTACCATTGTCAAAGCAACACCCCTTCTCATTAAAGTGTGTTTTTCTTCTTCTTTTTCTTCTCATGATGGAAAATTTATGTTTTTTTTTTTATTTTCACATGGTGTGAATATTTTTTTTTCTTTAATTTTGGTGCCCTTTTTGTTATTACTGAGCTGATCGTGTTTAATATATATGTAGAAGAAAAGGAATTTGAGTAACAACAGTTTAACGAGAATTGAAGAAGACTTGGCTGAAGCAAGAGCAGCTATCCGCAGAGCGATACAAAGGAGAAACTTCACCTCAGAAAAAGAAGAGATTTTTGTTCCCAGAGGAAACATTTACAGAAATGCTTATGCTTTTCATCAGTAAGTAACTTTCACGGTTTAATTAAATTAATTAGCGTTTTCTTTTACTTTTTGAAGATTAATTTTTTTTTTACGTTTAAGTAGAAGCTAAATGGAAGTTATATTATATATATACACGAGATACGGGTTTTCTTTAATAATTTTTTTTTTAAATTGATGACAGATCTACTAAAACTTTATACAAGTTGTCCATCGGTTACTTATTGGTTGTCAATGTTTTTCATACGGTTATCAAGAATAAACGTTTTCTTAACAGTAAACAATAGCGCATAAGATAAGCATTATAACTGATAATCAACTTACCGACAACCAAATGTAATCATAGGTTTAAATTGATATATTACATTTATGTTAATTTAGTGATATAGTTTTGTCTTTTTATGAGCTTGTTTTGTCTTTCATGGTATCTAACTAAGCATATGGTAACTTAGTAAAAGAAAATATAATAATGAATAAGAGACAGATCTTCCCATCCGCTAATTAGAGAATTTGATTAGGAAAATAAGGAAGTAACGAAATATCTTCAACTTTACTTCCTTATTTTTTAGTCTATTTACACTGATGGAATCGTTTCATTGAGTAACAATATCTACGATTGTAAAGATAAACAAATTAAAAAAGTTACCCTTTCTGAGAAAATAATGTACTTTAGAGAGAAAATAAAATAAAGAATTTCAACTCATAAGAATATTGACTTAAAAAGATTCTCTGATTCAATTTCGTAACCCAAAACACACTTCATTCATGTTTTCATCACGCGCTGTTTGTCCTTTCAAACTGAATAACAAGTCAAAATTGTCCCGTTTTATCGTTCCTTATTTTGGTGCAGAAGTCATATAGAGATGTTGAAGAGATTCAAAGTGTGGACTTACAGAGAAGGCGAGACACCCTTGGTCCATATGGGGCCCATGAGTTCGATTTACGGCATCGAGGGACACGTAATAGCTGAAATGGACAACATAACGGGCCCATTCTCGGCCCGCCATCCAGACGAAGCCCACGTGTTCATGCTACCCATAAGTGTGGCCCAAATCGTAAGGTATTTGTACAACCCTCTCACCACGTACTCTCGAGACGAACTGATGCGGGTCACCATTGATTACGCCAACATCATAGCCACCAGGTACCCATACTGGAACAGAAGCACTGGTGCAGATCATTTCTTAGCTTCTTGTCATGACTGGGTAACAATTTATACGACATAAACAATTAGATTGTAAGTTTAATCGGTTTGTTTAGATTAATGATGTTAGATGCAAGGGTTACATGTGTTTTTGTTGGTTGCAGGCTCCGGATATTTCACGAGAGAAATCTGGGCAAGAGCTTTTCAAGAACTTGATAAGAGTGTTATGCAATGCCAACACTTCTGAAGGATTCAAGCCGGAGAAAGATGTGTCGATGCCTGAAATGAACTTACAAGGTTATAAGTTGAGTTCGCCGATTCCTGGTCATGATCCTAGTAATCGTTCTGTACTTGCTTTCTTCGCTGGAGGGGCTCATGGTAGGATTAGAGAGATATTACTTGAACATTGGAAAGACAAAGATGAAGAGGTTCAAGTGCATGAGTATCTTCCTGAAGGCATCGATTATCATGGTTTAATGGGACAGAGCAGGTTTTGCCTGTGCCCTAGTGGATATGAAGTGGCGAGTCCTCGAATTGTGGAGTCTATCAATGCAGGATGTGTTCCTGTAATTGTTTCAGATTACTATCAACTTCCGTTTAGTGATGTTCTTGATTGGAGTAAGTTTTCGTTGCATATTCCATCGAAAAGGATAACTGAAATCAAGACAATACTGAAAAGTGTTCCTCGTACTAAGTACTTGAAATTACAGAATAGAGTGATGAAAGTTCAGAGACATTTTGTGCTGAATCGACCGGCTAAGTCGTTTGATGTGTTTCATATGATTCTTCATTCAATATGGCTCAGGCGACTAAACATCAGACTATACCCCATTGATATTTGACACTTCACCACTTTATAAAGATTAATAAAATGTGCATTGTGTAAACCATAGAGTAGATAGATCTTGGAGTAAATTTAACATAGACAAAACATCAAACTTTTTATCATGTTGTCTTTGTAATCCTTAAACTGTTGCGATTCTTATCATATTGTTTTGGGTTTCTTTTCTAGAAGTATCTCTTGTCCTGATGTTACAGTGTTATATACGTATACGTAAGAACGACTACCATCAATCTTTCGGATAAGTTGAATTGTGAAATTAAACAATTCACTTGAAATGATAATTTATTCAGTAATTTGATGGGAGGAAACTAGGTATATTTCAACATAAAAACTTTAAAAAAGTATAAATTTGTAAGTTTTTGTCATTTGTTTTCTCACTCAACGTATATTTATTTATTACATATATATTATAAAACTTCAATTTTGATATCATTTTTATGTTAAGATTATTATTTTTTTTCTATAATCATTGTTATTGTTATTATTATTGGGTTTATTATTCTTACTGATTAAAAATTTAGGTTAATTATTCTTATTATCATCATTATCTTCTCATGATGAAAATAATAAATAGTCTTTTACAATAGTAATGGGTAATAACAATAATAATTATGAGTTAAAAATGTTTATGATAAACTTTTAATGTTAATAATATATTATTTTATTGTAATCTAAAAAATATTATTTTTTGTTCTCTTTTGTAATCATTATTTAATTTTATATGTGAATCTTTCATTCCTTCCACCTCTTTTCATTAATGTATTTATTTATGTATATTTTTCCCATTCATGTTAGGTGTGTTACTCTCTTAGAGTATAAATAATAATTTAAAAATTCACAAATACAAATTGTTTTTTCATACATGTATTATGGTTGGTTTTTTAAGTGATGAATTTTTAGTATAAATTATAAAACTTGTTTACTTTTTTGCAATAATTATTTGAGAATCAGATCAAGTGCATTTTTTTAAAAATTGGTTATAATAGTATAAAAGTGTATAAAAATATAGCATAAAAATCATAAAAAGGTATATTTAAAAAAATGGTTAGTGGCCTTAAAAATGTACAAAGTGAATCAAAACGTATACCCCTATGAAACTATTAGCAAATATTTTTATTAATTAAAATAATTGTAATTTTTACTATAAACTATACTTCATAAAACTTGGAAAGAAAAAAAAATCAGGATATAATTTTTTTTCATAAAATTAGTGGAAACAAACTGTTTTTGAAGAAAACTTAATATAAGAAAATCGTCATAAAACTAGTGCCCAAAAAAATAGTTTTTCTAATCAAAGTATGACTTAAATATTTCCTCTAAATTAGCCAGATGGGTTGACAAACATTATAATTTATTAATTTACTTTTTTTTCCGTTGTAAAAATAGAAATCTATATTTTTTTTTATTATTGAGATAATAAAATAACATGTGGATTACATGTTTAATCTCTCTATAATAATTGGAGCATTATGATCTGATGTGAAAAGCAAGTTGGCACATTTTCATGAATGTTTCGAAGAATGATTATGGCAATACACATTACTGATGAAATATGGTTGTAATTTATAATTAACACTAATTTTAACACAAAATCTTAGGATACTGTATTTATAGTATTTATAAAGTTTTTTTACTTTTTCATATATACTTAATACTGGATCTAAACCTTGAATTCCTAACACATTTATTTATTTATGAAAACATCGTTACATTTACCAAGATATGAGTGTTTCTACTGACTCATGCATGGAAATATTGTCGGGATTAATGTAGTGAAAGCATTTAGAGCGCGACCGCTTCTTCCTGCACCCAAAATTTTCTTCCTACACCCCCTAAATTATAAAATTCTGACGTTATCCTTCATTAAAAATATATTAAAATCCCTAATTTGTGATGTGCGGTTCTTTCTTCTTCGTCAGTAGCTCCTATCCATTTTTTTTCCTTCGGTTTCTCCATTTTCCTAGGGGCTGTTTCACCATCATTTCCAATCCTGCACAAATTTTTTTATTAATATTTCAAAATTCAACAAAAGAATTTTTACTTTTTATCATACTTTAAAATTTGATAAAAAAATTTAAAGACTTTCTCCAATTTCAAAATTCAATAAAAAAATCTTTTATCAAATTTTAAAATTTGATAAAACACAAAAAATAAAATGTATAATTTTTTAAATTGCAGATGACAATTTTAGAATTTAAAAAAATAATAATATTACAATGCTTATTTGAAGAGGCATAAACTACTATTTAGAGTTTTTAGTATCGAAAATCAAATTGAATGTGAAATTCCGCTACCATTATTCGTGTGAACTCCTATGTCCATGAAGGATATGGCCAGCCGATGTGGCTAAGCGAAGAGCTTAAAGAAAGTATCATAAAATCAATTAATCCCTTCTTTTTCTTACTAAAGTAGCATAAATCCAAAAAAGAAAACTACCATTTGCGTGCTATTGAACTAATGAACCTTGACCTTTGTCTTTCTTTGTGGCGTGTTGGGGAGAAGAAGCATAGGGTAGAAGAAGCTGGTGTGGGTTTTTGGATAGAAATTCCAAACCATCCAAATCAAACAAATTTAATATATCAAAACCCTCAATCTGAGATATTCATTTTAAATGCATTCAGAAATACATTCAGAAATATATTAAAAACCAAATTATGAATTTGAGTGTTTTGAAAATAATTTTTGTCAACTAAAATTTGATATATTTTAAAGGAGTTTCTTAATTTACATTTTTTTTTTCAGTTGGTATATTTTAACAATGTGTACCAAGATTTTGTAGATAAAAATACCCTCATATATTATGGATTCTAAGTTTTAAGTTTAAGGATATTTGAATAATTTTTATTTTTAAATAAAACAAGAAACCCCAAACTCTTAAACTCTTACATTCATCATTCCTTTCAACCCTTTCTCTTTGATCTTTCTCACTCCAACATTATCTCTTTTGTCCCTACACTAGCCCAACTGGAAAAATAAAAAACACCCACCTAACGTGTTTCTCTCTACAGTCATTTAGTTTCTTAATACCAATTTTGATTAAATCATAGAATAAAAGGAGTAGAAGTTAAACTATGAGGGTAACATATTTATTACCATTAAAATCCAATTTGAAATTTAATGCATTTTGTTTTTCTTAATTTCACTTTTACACAATATCGTGTTTGTATTGTCCAAACAAGTTCGAGATGTGAACGGTTTAAAATAAACTTACATGTGAAAAGTATGTTTCGAAATATTGTTTTCAGCGAAAAATATGTTTTTAGAATGATTTTTAAGAGTTGACTTCATAAATTCATTTTTTGGACAACAATAACTTACCCCTTAACGATTTTTTTTTTCTAACATCAACATCATTAATTATTATTTTGTTATTAAAGTAAAAAACAAATGAACGAACAGAGCTTGGTGTCGCGGATGATTGTGTGTGTGTGGGTGAGAGAGAGTATGAAGATGAAAAAGAAACAAATTAGATAAGTGAGGAATGTGGATTAAGGTTAGGTGAGTGTTTATGATTTTTTTTTTAGTTAAGGCTATAATAGGAATGACAGAGAAAAGGTTGAAGTGAGAGAGAAGAAAGATAAAAGGTTGAAATGAATGAGGAATGTCGTAAGAGTTTGGGGTTTCTTATTTTTTTTAGTTTGGGGTTTCTTATTTTTAGGAGATGAAAATTAGCCCATGAAAAAATTATATTTTGAAGAGTTTACTTGAGAAATTTATTTTCTGGACAATAACTTACGATTTTCTTTTCTTTTTCGGATAACTTAAGAGTCAAAATATTAAATATCTCCAAAGATAAACTACTAATTCTAAAATTTAAAAACGAAATTTAATAACGATGAAAAAGATATAACACAACCCTCAAATCAAAAATCAACATCAACATTATTAGTTATTTTGTTATTAAAGTGAAAAACAAATAAACGAACAGAACAAGAGCAACAAATTGTGGTGTCACGGATTACTGTGCAAGAAAGAGTATGGAGATGAGAGAGAAACAAATTAGATAAGTGAGGAATGTGAATTAAGGTTAAGCAAGTGTTTTTAATCTTTTCAGTTTGGGCTACAGATGATAGAGAAAATGTTGGATTGAGAGAGAAGAATGAAAAATGGTGCAGAGGAATGAAAAATGTGAATAAAGGTTTGAGAGTTTCTTGTTTTTTTTAGTTTTGAGAATGAAAATTATTCAAACACCCTTAATCTTAAACTTAGAATCTATAATATATAAAGATATTTTTGTGTACTAAAACCCGATCCACATTGTTAAAATGTATAACGCATATTTTAAAATTTATATAAATTACAAACCCCATATATATATATATATTAAATAATACTATATATATATATATATATATATATAGTAGTATATCTATATATATATATATATATAATAATAAAATCCCACACACACATTTAACTTTAAAATAGATAGAGTTCTGTGCATTTTCAAACTACACGTATTTAAGCATATTTTCAGCAAAGTTAAATATGATTTTTTGAGTGAGTAGATGATTTTTATCAAATGAAAATGAGCCCATGAAAAAAAAATAAAAAAATAAAAAAGAGAATAGGAAGGAGGCGAAGAAAATGCAAAGACCTTGATTGATTGGATCCATTTTTGATCCCATACCCTAAACTAAACCCTCCCTCACCCCTTCACCCTTCACTCGTGTATAGCTTTTCCAAAACTCAACCAAACAAACTTCTCCACTTCACGCCACGCTCAGAGAAAAAAAGTGTTCTTTCAGTTTTCCACAAACCAAAACACTTCTCACTCCTTTCACAATCTCAACAACTCCTTCAAGCCCAGGTTTAAGAACACATGGCCGAGGATCGCGCGTCTGAACCACCCTCTATTCCTCCACGCGCCTCCATTCCCTCCGGCGACAACTCCGTTTGGGCCGATGTGTCCCCTCTCCTCCACGCCGCGTGCCAAGGTCACTTTTCGAACTCAATTTCTCAACATGCTCCTCCCTCCCTCTTCTTTTTTCCCTAAAACCTCATCGCCTCTTACATAACCACTCTCTCTAATTTAAATTCATTACAGTAAATGCTAGTGTGAAACTTGTTTTGTTCGCTTAGCAAATTAAATTAA